TATACAATAATAATATTAAAATAGCGGGCCAAATCGGCTGCCAGGCCACCGGGAATAGTCCCGGTTCTTCCGATGGCCAGTCCGCGCCTGCTTTCCACAGACACGCAGAACGTGCAGGATTCATATATTGTCTTTTCGCGGCTTAATATTCACAGACACTAGTCCATATCGCGTTTGATTCAAGTGCACTGACGTACTTTTGATTTATTCGTCCAAAATGTGGCATATCCCGTCCGCGTTAGGCTATAGGACTTCCGTTTTTATGACTGGATTCTACGAACCAGTCTGTGTTTTCCGCATTGCGGAAATTATAGGGCCGTCTCAGAGTAGTCAGCGCAATTTGGGAAAGAAATCAATTAAATCTGTATGTGAATGTGTGTAAATATTCAAATGTAATCCCCTTTGTAATCGTTAACATTTTCATAAGTAACTGTAATTTAATTACACATTTTTTCTTAGTAACTGCAACTGATTACAGTTACATTTATTTTGTAATTAAATTACGTAACGCCGTTACATGTAACTAGTTACTCCCCAACACTGTATATATATATATATATATATATATTCACATTGGCAGTCCTATATCACTTCCGAATCAAAATTATACACAAAACTACCTTAATTGTGTGTTTTTGGATTAAAAGTTGTACTAAACGACCTTGAAATGGTTTTAAGAAAAACTACACTTCCCATCTCTCGCAAAGTTCAAGCGCGCATGTGCGGTAAGCGCTATTTCCTGGTACGACCTTCTCATATAGAAAGGCAGGGTTACGAGTCAGAGTTCGTAAGAGAATAGGAAACCAATGATTCCCATATGTCCAGTAGTTTCCTTCACCTATGGTGAGTAAAATTGGGGTTTTAAAAGCACACTGAGACAGCAGACGCGATTTAATCGAGAGAGGATGTGATTAAGACCATGTTGTGGGTGTGTGGGGATCGTTTGGGTTTATTTCGTCTTAGTCTCTCCTGCGTGTTTTCGTCCTCCGCATGATACGGCTCTTCATCATGGTTGCCATTGCACACAGTCGCTTACCCTCCATGAATCTGTTTTTTTTTTCAGTGCCCAGCCGGCTAGGTGAAGATGTCAAAATGGCCACCGGCAACTACTTTGGATTTACCCATGGTGCTGCTGCGGCCCAGTACAGGTAAGGGCTGAGATGTTTAATGGGAACTGCGGTTATGGTGATGGTACAGTAATGGTGGGATTTGGCCCCTCGGCCTTTGTTGCTGGGTCCGGGTGGGGGTGGG